ATCCTGGGGGAGGGGGGGTGGGGCAGATTTTGGCCCCGGGGGTGGGACAGATTTCGTATTGAGGGGAACATATTTTAGTCTGGGGGGGACAGATTCCATCCCGGGAGGGACAGATTTTATCCAGTTTTCACCCTGGGGGGGACAGGTTTAATTCTGAGAGGGACAGGCTTTGATTCTGAGTGGGGCAGATGTCATTGGGGTGGGGGGAGGAACAGATTTCAGCCATGAGGGGACAGGTTTCAGCTTAGAAGTGACAGGTTGTTCAGTCTGGAGGTGACAGGTTCCAACCTCCCTGCCCCACCACCCAAACTGGTCCCACTCCCAGAATAGACCCCACCCATTTGGGGTCTCCCCCACTGTGCCCCATCTGGGGTTTGATGCATTTTAGCTGGGTTTCCTCTTATGGTCACCTGGCAGGAAATGTTCTGTAGCCTAAAACACATCCAGGTCCCCCCCCACAATCATGAAATCCCAAGGATTCTGGGGTGGGAATGCAAGGACCCAGGTGCTGGTGTGGGCACAGGAGCCACAGGAGCATCCCTCTCTGCCTTGGAGGAAATTCCTTGGTGGGGGTTAAGTCCCAGGGAACCCTCAAATCCCACCAGCTCCAGGGCTCACCTCAAAAAAGGGGAGCACCTTTGGAATGGTGTGGCCAGCTGTGTCCCCCCACATTTTGTCCCTGTTCCCCCCTCCATCAACCCCTGGCAGCTGTGGGCAGGTTATTTCCCTGGTCCCTTTGTCAGATCCCAGCAGGATGGGGGATGAGTGGCTGGGAATTTTCAGGACCCCCTCAGATGGAGCTGGGTTGGGATGCACTGTGGCTCTGGGAGCTGCAATGGCCTGCTGGGATGCACATGGGGGTGGGGCAGGGGAGTTTCCTCATCCTGGGGTGGGGGCTGCAAAGATTGAAGGGTCCTTGAATAATTCTAAAACCCAAACCCATTTTGGCACAGCCTGCAAGGGCATTTCCACCAGGAAACTCCTCTGATGCCACCAACCTCTTGTTCATGTCCCCCAGAATCCCCAGGAAAGGGAGATGGTCCCAGGGGACATGGGTTGTCACAAGTCCCTGGGTGTTACCACCCCATGGCAGCTCCCCATGGGTCTCAGTGGGCAGGTCCCAGGGATACCACCAGCTGGGACCCACAGCCATGGAGACCCCTGGAGATCCCAGTGGGATGTGGGAGTGTCTCTGTGGGACAGCCCATCTGCAAGGGGTGACTGGGGCTGTCATGGCATAAGTGAAGGTGGCAGCAGGTCTGGGTCCACAGCAGGGGCTGTGCAAAAGAGCCATGCGTGTGTGGTGTGTGAGTGTGCATGGGTGTGCATGCTGCTCCCAGCACACCTGTGCACACCTGTAAGTTGTGCAGGCTTGGGGTGCCCCAGAGCAGGGAAGGGCTGAGTGTGCCAGGCCCAACTCAGCACCTACTGGCCTCATCACTTTGGGTGTCCATCACACCAGTGTGTGCCCATCACACCACACCAGTGTGTGCCCACCCCATGTTCCCAGAGTGTTCCCACCACATCCACCCCAGCATGGAGCCATGTTTGGGCAGCTGCCCTGCTGCCTGCAGGGGCCGGGCAGGGCAGGGAGATGCCTCCAGCTGCAGGACACCCTGGGGTGCCCAAGCATGGGTAGGCAGGGCCAGGTGATGCCCCCAGCCCCAGGACACCCCACACTGACCCTGATTCTTTCCCTCCCCAGGCCCCAGGAACAGTCTTGCTGCAGACACCCAAGGATCTCCACACCATGACTCTGGCTGGTACGTCACCACGATGGGCAGCATGTGGGGCCAGGGGGCAATATGTCTCATCCAACCCCAGGAACCACCCCTACCCCATGCTGGGGGTCCACAGTTTGCAGTATCTGAGCAAGCTGTGTTGGCAGCCAACCCTGGTCCGTGGCAGCCACTGGCCTGAGGGTCTGGCAGTACCCTCCCCTCCTTCTGACCCCAATCCCACCATCTCTTCCCAGCTTACAAAGAAAAGATGAAGGAGCTGCCCCTCGTCTCCCTCTTTTGCTCCTGTTTCCTTTCGGACCCTCTGAACAAGCCGGCCTACACCTATGAAGGTAGGACCCTGCTGCCCAGGGGGGCATGAACACTGGGGGTCTGCAGACCCCACCTTGGCATGAGCGGTGCCATCCTCAAACCTGGAGAAGTGGCTCTAAGATTTGGTGGCACCTTCTGGAAGCAGGGAGCTGGGCTTCTCCTGGATAGGTGTTGGGTGTTCTACAGCTAGAAAGGGACCTCGTGGGCCCATTCCCAGGTCCTGGAGCAGGGCTAACACAGCCTTCCCTGCTCTCTCCTCTCTTGGGGGGTACCCAGCCCCTCACCTCACCCATGTACTCATAGAATCCCAGACTGGTTTGGGTTGGAAGGGATATTTAGATCATCTAGTTCCAACGCCCTGCCATGGGCAGGGACACCTCCCACTAGACCAGGTTCCCCCAAGCCCCATCCACCCTGCCCTTCAACACTGCCAGGGATGGGGCAGCCACAGCTGCTCTGGGCAACCTGGGCCAGGGTCTCACCACTCTGAAAGCAAAGAATTTCTTCCTCACATCTCATCTCAATCTCCCCTCTTGCAGCTTGAAACCATTCCCCCTCATCCCATCACTCCCTGCCCTTGTCAAAAGTCCCTCCACAGCTTTCCCGTAGCCCCTTCAGGTCCTGAAAGGTGCTCTAAGGTCTCCCTGGAGCCTTCTCTTCTCCAGGCTTAACAGCCCCAACTGTCTCAGCCTGTCTCCAGAGCAGAGCTGCTCCAGTCCTAGGAACATCTCAGTAGCCGCCTCTGGACTCAATTCAACAGCTCCATGTCCTTCCCATGTTGGAGACCCCAGCACTGGACCCAGCACTGCAGGTGGTCTCACCTGAGTGAACAAAAGGGGGGCAATGCCCCCCTCACTCTGCTGGTCACACTGTTGGGGATGCAGCTCTTCTGATATTCCCAGCTCAGCACCTTGATGGGTGTCTTGGAATCCCTACCTCAACCCATGGCACTGGGGCTCAACCACAGGGGTTCATTCAGGAAGCAGAGATTTGGGTGAAAGCCATGGAGACCTGGGAATATAGTGGCACATGGTGGGCTGCAGATGAAGGACCTGGGAATGGTTTGCTTGTTGGGGTGGGAGGCACCAGTGCCAGTGGTCAGCCCGTGTCCCTCTCCCAGCAGACACGGTAGACCTGACCTGGTGTGTCATCTCTGACATGGAAGTCATCGAGCTCAACAAGCGGACCTCAGGACAGTCCTTTGAGGTCATCTTGAAGCCCCCCTCCTTCGATGGCATCCCTGAGTTCAACGCCTCCCTGCCCCGGCGGCGCGACCCGTCCCTGGAGGAGATCCAGAAGAAGCTGGAGGCGGCGGAGGAGAGGAGGAAGGTAGGTCCAGCAGCAGTGTGACACACCACAGGGACTCGCCACCTTGCATTTGGGGTTGAAGGTTGAACTCACCTCTGGGGACATTGCTGAGTTTAGAGAGGTTGGTTTTGGCCAGGAGGGGCAGGGACCGAGGGCTCCGTGGTCACGGTGTCCGCTTTGCCTGCGCAGTACCAAGAGGCTGAGCTGCTGAAGCATCTGGCAGAGAAGCGGGAGCATGAGCGGGAGGTCATCCAGAAGGCCATCGAGGAGAACAACAACTTCATCAAGATGGCCAAAGAGAAGCTGGCACAGAAGATGGAGTCCAACAAGGAGAACCGCGAGGCCCACTTAGCAGCCATGCTGGAGCGCTTGCAGGAGAAGGTGAGAGCTCGGCAGGGAGGGAGGGGGCACGTGCTGGGACATCGGTCAAGGAGGGGGTCACAGGCCACTTGGGCACCTGGCATGGCTTTTGGGGTGGCATTACCCCCTGGGACACCACCAAAGGGAGGGACCCCTCTTCCCCTCCCACCAAAGGGAGCAAAACAAGCACAACATCCCACCTGGGGTGGAAGGTCCTACCTGGGGCCACACCAAGCCTGATGTGTTCGTAGGCTCACAAGTGGCTGGCGGGTGGGACCCATATCTTGCCCACAGACATGCAGACCTTGGCTTTCCCTGCGTCCCACTGTGATGGCCTTGACTCACCATTGGCACTTTTTCCACCTCCCGGGTGGCAGATCTTCCCCTGGTCCCTTTCCCGGAGGCCATGGAGCCATCAGCTCCCTGGCAGAGCTGAAGGGGTCTGTGCTGCCGCGCTAGGAGATGCTTCCATCCTGCCAAGCTCTGCAGACCTCTTCTCTCTCCCCGAAGCAGGTCTGTTCCCAACCTCAGCACGGAAGGCCCCACCCTCACCACCTCCAGCTCCCTCCAAAACATCCCTTCTGCAAGGAGCTCGCCCAGTGCCCTTCTCCAAACGCCTCAGCTAGCCTTGAGCCAGAGGCAGAGAGCACGAGATAATGAAGGACAATCAGAGTTAACCCCAAGTCCTTGGGGCTCCGGGTCTGTGCTGGCTGGTTGACGTCTACCTCCTAGCTGGAGGGCGAGGACAATCTGTCCCCGAGTGCCATCACAGCCCTTAGAACACCCCAGGGGAGGAGAGGACGCTGCTGATCCACCGGTGGTGTCCCTCGGGGGATGAACCTCGCCAACGCCCTCGTGCCTTCGAGCCCCTCCGAAGCCATGGCCCACCCATGGGGACCCTGAAGCCCGTCCAGCTAATGTGTGCCAACCTCCCCCCCCTTCTCCTCCCTCCTCCCCTCCTGCCCTCCCTTCCACAGGACAAACACGCAGAAGAAGTGAGGAAAAACAAGGAGCTCAAGGAAGAAGCCTCCAGGTAAAGAGGCGCTGGTTGGACTGACAGCTCCAGGGAGGTGGTGGAGGCTGCTGCAGAGCAAGGTCGGGTGATGGAAGAAGGGTGGACATTCCTCTGCTGTCTTTGTTTGTGAATGTAAAGAGTTGACCAGTGAAGCCATCCTATTTGTTTGGGGGTGGGTGGGGAGGGAGGAGAAAGAAAGGGAAGAGGGGTGGGGTGGGAGGGTGCTGGTTTTGGGATGTCCATCTCGGGGGGGTGTGGAGTGGGTGGGGAGGGAAGATGGGGTGGGGGGGAATGTGCATCGTGTGTGACTTTAATTTAGTGCTGGGCAGGCAGGTGGGCATCCCTCCAGCTTCCTTCTTCACCCCAACCCACTGATGGGCAGCAACATCTCTTGGTGTCCAACCCTCCCTTCCTCCCACCTGGACTCAGGGCCTCTTGCCCCAAGTGGCCATTATTTGCCCGTAGACCTTACAGAACCATTTTGTGGAAGGGGGAGAAGAAGACTCCACCCCGTTGGAGATGATTAGAGAGTGAGGCTTGCTTGCTCCAAAAGCTTTATCTGGCTGTAGGAGATACTGATGATCCTTATCAAGGGTGAAAATGCAAAGCCCCATGACTTCCCAAAGAGCTGCTTTTTTTTTGTAAGAACCTCCTGAAAATTGTCTTAGTGGGAACTCTTGGATGAAATCCCCCTTCCCTGCTGTAGAGCAGCTGAAAAGCCATCAGCTTCTAGAGGTGGTTATTTGAAAAGGGAGATCAACCCCCTGGAGAAAGAAAGCAGGAGAGGAAAAGTGGGAAGGGCTGTGAAAACCGTAATGAAAGGGGTGAGGAAAACCAAGAGGGGAAGAGGAGCCAGGGGAGCTGAAGAGCCAGAGGTGGAATGGAAAATCCTCTCTGGAGAGCAGAAGACAACAGCCATAGGGAATCTCCACAGATGACAATGGCACCTCCTAGTGACACCAAGCTGTGAGGAAAGCCAGTTTGGGGCCCCACCAACAGCTTGCAACCAGCCCAAGAGTTGCTTTGTGGGAGCTGCTGTGCAATCCCCTGGGTGGCCTTTGCCTTCAGGAATGGAGCAGAGAAGTTGCAGCAGGACCCTTCCCAGTGGGACAAAGTGAGCAGTCTGCTCTCTCCCAGTTACCAGCAGGCAGTGGCCTCAGGGCCATGATGCCCTGGCAACCTCGTTAGCCTCCAGCCCTGCTTCTAACAGAGGCTTTGGACTTCTCCATGGCCAGAGAAGGCTTTCCAAGCTCTGGTGCAGGTCTGGAGGGAACCATGTCTTTTTACCTGTGTCCCCAGATGCTCACCCAGATCCCAGACCCCTGGGGAGCACCAGCCTGGGGAGGGGAACATGGGAGAGGTTGGTGGGTGAAGGAGATGAAGGGGGCTCTTCTGGCTGTGGCACGAGCTGTCCTTTTTTTGTATACAACCAATGTAAATAAACTGCCTTGGCATTTCTTTCCATTTCTCACCATCTTCTGGAGTGTCTTGTGTGGGACTGCTTTCTGGGGGTTTTTTTTGACATCCCAGTGTTCATTAGGCTGGGAAGGGCAAAGCCTGAAGGACTTGGGTCTTTTTAGTCTGGAGAAGAGAAGTCTGAGGGGGGATCTTATCAATGCTTATAAATACTTACAGAGTGGGTGTCAGGATGAAGGGGCCAGTCTTTTTTCAGAGGTGACAGGACAAGAAGTAACAGGCACAAACACGAAGATAGGAAGTTCCATCTAAACATGAGGAGGAACTTCTTGATTTTGAGGGTGGCAGAGCACTGGAACAGGCTGCCCAGTGCAGTTGTGGAGTCTCCATCTCTGAAGACATTCCAAACTATCCTGGACACCATCCTGTGCAACCTGCTCTAGGTGAACCTGCTCTGGCACAGGGGTTGAACTAGATAATCCCCCGAGGTCCCTTCCAACTCCTACAATTCTGTGACTATGTGATTCTGTGAAAAGGACTTGGGGGGAAGGGGTGTGGAAATGAGAGTGGGAGAGAGCATAATAGCATCATGGAATCATCAGGTAATTTGGGTTGGAAAAGACCTTTAACATCCTCATGCCCAACCATTACCCCAGCACTGCCAAGGCCACCACTAAACCATGTCCCTCAGCACCACAGCTACATGGCTTTGAAATCCCTCCAGGGATGGGGACTCCACCACTGCCCTGGGCAGCCTGGGCCAGGGCCTGACAACCCTTTCCAGGAAGAAATTGTTCCAAATATCCTATCTAAAAGGATGCTGTGTGAACTCCAAACCAGGATGAAAACCACGTTAGTCTGTCTGCTCCACCAGCGTGGAGACTGTGTATGAGAAGCTCTTTAGGGAGGGTGGAATCACATCTGAAGCAGAATGACATGTCTTAGAGAGTGTACTCAAGAGTGAACCCCATAACTGTAGTGAACTCTGGGGTGCAGAGTCTTGCAAAGCCACCTATCCACAGCCAACCATGTAAGTCATGCCATAGAAAGCCAAGATCACCTCAACCATGACATCAAATACAATAAATCTGAGTATTTGTGGAAAGTGTCCCTGTCTGTGTAAGGGGGTTAGGAACTAGGTGATCTTTAAGGCCCTTTCCAACTCAGACCAGTCTGGGATTCTGTGATTCATTCTATAGAGCAGAATTGGGACCAATAAGGAAGAAAAAGCAATTAGGGGCAGATTGAGCTGAGTAAACACAGTGCTAAGGTAGAAATAGAAATAAACAAACAAACAAATAAATAAAATAATAACCAGGACAAATAATAATTTAAAAAGAAGAGGAAAAAGTTATGAAACCAGGTAAGGAACCCAGGACAATGGGATCTTTCAGTGGTCAGAGGATGGATGCCTACAGATGGTGGTGACACTGATCTGGAGACCCAACTCATGTGATGGTCTTGAGCAACTCACTGGACTCTCCATCAGGGTTATGTCCAAAAAGCTCAGTGCAAGATGGTACAAAGGGATTTACTTGCACCCTGGTATGACGAGTTGTGAGGAGGAAAGGATGGTGAAACTAACCCAGCAGTACTAGTTTGGGATTCAAAAGGCTGAAGAGTGCTACCTTCATTGTTGTGTTTAACCACAGAATGGTTTAGGTTGGAAGGGACCTGAAAGTGATGTGCAAAATCCAATCATAGTTTAGTTGTGATGATTTGATCACTAGTTGATTAGCTTGTTGTTCATTCAAGTGATTTTTTTTTATTATTTTTTTTAGTAGGGTATTGCTTAACCAGAGGACATTGTGGCCTTTTGAACGTCTGCAGTACAAAGAGGGAAGGTCAGACCCTGCAGGAATGGTGTTATATCAGACACACGTGTGTCACAGGGTGAGAAAGATGTCCTCCCACCACTGGTAGTGCCCAGATGTTCAAAGCTAGTGATGATACTGCAGCAACATAGACCAGCCCATTTACAACTCCCAAACACCATCTGCCACATCTTGGGAACGTCCCCAAAGAAAGACTACCAAGGCAAACCTTGCAGAGGGAAAGACAAATAACATTGGTTTATTATCTTGGGGATACTAATTTGTAGGATGCTTGGAAGGTAACTTCTCCACTTGATTTGCCACCAAAACTGGGGTTCTAGGCAGAATACAGCTCAGAATAGTGTAAAAGCTACAGAAACCCTGAGGGAACCAGCAGAGCATCAAGAGAGAAGTGGCTGGCAGGAACGATGCTTTGCTGCCTTTCCCCTTTGCTGAACCCTCTTTGAACTCACCACAAAACAGGGAAATGTAATGTAATTAAATATTCATCAACAAGGACAGTCAGGGCTGAGGCCAAGTCCCAGCCTCCATCTCTTGATCTTGCAAGGAAGCAAAGTCAAGAAAGGAGGAAGGTCTCTCACTGCATTTACAGACAGAAAATGAAAAGACAGCAACTGTGAATCTCCTTTATCCAGAGTAAGGCAGTAAAAAGAGACTTTAAATTATGTCTGGTCATTTCTGCAGACCACTTTTAAGGGTGGATAGAAAATTAAGCTGAAGTTCTTTGCCAAAGAAAGGCTGGAAAAGTGAAAACAGAATAGAAAAATTGAAAACCTGCAGCATTTTTTATTTTTCAATCCTTTTATTTGGTGTATTATCATCCCAGCTTGCTAATGTCCATGTGCGTAATGCAGTCCCTGCCAGAGCAAAGGTGAGGGCCACTGCAGACCTTCCTCTTTGGTTGTCCATGATACCATCACCGGGTGGTACACACTGGCTCTCCTGCCTTTCCTCAGGGCCATCTCAGCAGCTCGGATCCACCTCAGTTCATCCCTGGGGTGACAGTGGTGGACCATCCATACCAAACACATACGTGGGAATATGAACAGATAAATTCTGCCCAGGCTGGAGAGAGGCACAAGACTCGTTCCATCACATCCCATATGGAAAACTCACACAGGATTGCTTTTCTTTCCTTCCCTCTAAAATACCATTGGGTTGGTAGCCAAAGTACCCAACATTTCCATTCAGCCTCAGGTCCAGCCTCAGAGTGTGGCTGACTCCCACCACCCCATGAGCTGAATTTAGTCCCAAGCCTTGGGCACGCTCAAGCCCACCAAGGGCCGCTCCTGCCTGATGAAACATTAAGCCACACACTTGTCTATGCAAAGTCCTGTTCAGCAATCACCTCCATGTTTTTAGGAGAGCTTTCACCACCCAAATACTTGTTGAAGGTCTTCAGACCTCTACTGTTGGTTCGATTTTCTCAAAAGCAAAGAGGCAGACACAGGCATGGTGGCTTGGACCCTCCAGGATCTCCAGCATCAGTTTTTGCTCACCGCAAATTATTTCCAGCCCTCTGTTGCCAATATCTGGGGTGAAATGAAGAACATCCCAGGCTCCCTCATGGGGAGATGTGGGGCCGGAAAGTGCGTGGTCGAATCATCATAACCACCTTCCTCAGGGAGTAGTAGTCTGTGTCCTTCCACGAGTACCACACGATGCCATCGGGCCCCAGGGCCTTGCGGTGTTTGATGGAGTATCGGCCGCCCTGTGGTGCAGAGACAGAGGGATGGTCAGGCATGGGAAAGGTATGGAAGCCTCAGCCAAATAGGAGTGTCAGAAAACTGATTGCTCTGGAACACTGGAGCAAAGAGTTTAATGACAATGAGATGCAAAGAGCCACATCAAGCCAATGAAGATGGCATCTGTCTATCTCAGGTCCATGCCACAGGTTTCCACCACTTGGTCCCAAGCCCCACCCTGCAGAGGTGTCTCAACCCCCGTGTCTGGCCCATGGCACTGCCTTGGTGCCCAGCACTCCTTTTGTTCTCTCCCTGGAGACCAGATGTTGGTCAAACCAGGAAAGATTGCTATGATGATAAGACCAACAGCCTCCTCCCAGACATGGAGGAGTCTGATGAGCTAGTGTCTGCACCCTCATCCCTCCACCTTTGCCTGGAAAACACCTTACTGAGGTTGGACAAAAAGCAGTTTGCACCCTCATTCCTCCACCTTACCTTGTAGTACACCCCATTGAGGTTTGAGAAGAAGCACTGGTGGTACCACCAGCCTCCATGGGAAATCTCTGCACAGATGTTCCCCGAGTCAGGGGTGCTGAAGCTCCTCTTGTTATGGTACCAGGCAAAGGAATCCTCCACAGTCCCACTGAACCCATCCACGTGCAGACGGTACTCGTTTGCCTCGTCCTCGATGCTGTGAGCAACAGAGGTGGGACTGTTTAGTCTGGGGTGTTTGAGAGTCCTTTCCAACCTGGAAACTGCCTTCCTGGTGCAGACACCTACCAATCATCAAGCTGCTCCAGCCAGCCTCCCTGCTCTGACTCATCACTTGTAAAAGCCAAAGATCATAGAATCACCTAATCCCAAACTGGTTTGGGAGAGAAGGGACCTTAAAGATCATCTAGTTCCCATCCCTGGCCATAAGCAGGGACACCTCCCACTAGACCAGGTTGCTCCAAGCCCCATCCAGCCTGGCCTTGAATGCTTCCAAGGATGGGGCCTACACAGCTCCTCTGGACAACTTTGGCTAGTGTCTCTCCATCCTCATAGTGAAGAATTTCCTCCTAATGTCTAGTCTAAATCTCCCCTCTTCCAGTTTTAGGCCATCACCCCTTGTTCTCCTGCTCCCTGCCCTTGTCAAAAGTCCCTCCCCAGATTTCCTGTAGCCCCTTCAGGTCCTGGATGTTTTATTTTTTCATTCTGTGGGACATGGATGATTTTGTCATGACTCAGGGCACTTGTCATAGGACTAAACCAGGCAGTTGGTGACTCGAAAGCCACAACAAAGGACAGTGGCAGCTTTGGCATGACAATCCTCTAACTGCACAGCCCTGCTTCCTCTCCACCTAACGAGCACCCTGCTGTTCACCTGAGATAATTAGTAACCTTCCCCTGGGCTAGCAAAGGCTGAAGGTTACTGCCGTTGCACGTGACACCTGATGACAAAAGTCAGGGTCACCAGCACATGTTTGCTGCTGGAAGATGCTCCACTGCATTTTCTGGCTATGAGATTTTGGGGTTTTTTTTCCAGCCTTTTCAGCAGTTTTGGGGTCTACTCAAGTGTCCATAAGGTGCAGTGGTCCCTTGGACATCCTCCCGTGAAGGATCATTCCACAGTCACCCACAAAGCATTTCCAGTAGAGACAGGGAAGGAGTTAACCTGGGACAATCTAGACAGACCTGGTCAACCCTGATTAAGAAAGGATGTGGCTGATGTGGTCTGGATAAATAAAAAACCAGATGAGGGGAAGGGCTATAGATGCTGAAGGATGTTACATCATGCCCAGCAAGTAAAAGTGAGTGAAGAAGGTAAAAATCAAAACATGATGCTGGAGGACCTGGGACTCAAAATGCCATTTTTGACATAAACCTTAATCATTTTGGTGGAAAAAATGCCCAGGTAGCATCTGGGGACTGTCCATTGGGTCCTACAGCTCTCTTTCC